TATCCCCCAAATTCTGACCCATATTAGCAGCCATTTAGTGATTATTAATACGGATCAGCTGTTGTAGTTCTGGAATCAGGGTAAACTTGGCTATGGATTGTCGCAAGCTAATCACCCCAGGCGACATCGTCGCTGAAACCCTCATTGACGGGGCAGAATTCACGGTGGTCGTTGGCGCAGAGTTCATAGAATGAACGGCTGACATTCGTGGTGGGGAACTTGTGGGGATCGACGCTGTGGACATCACCGGTGGTGATTGTGGAAGGGGCGGTGGAGGGGGCGGAAGGTCATCGGTGGTCGGACTTAGTCTGCTGTGCGATGATTTATCTCCCGACCCTTTTCTTATTGCCCCTTTACTTTGTTGATCTCCCAAAAATCCCAAGTCACGAATCGACCGTGAATTTTTCTCCTCGTCGCTACTCGAATAATACTCGCCTCCTCTTTTAAGATTTACATTGGGCAATAACACAGGCACACAAAAAAAAAAGTTGTCTGTTTCTTGAACTACACATATATTTCCTATAGTATTTTGGCCCGCTGAAACCGAATCTGAGGTCAGAATTGCTCCATTACCCTCAGTTTTTTTTTAAATCGACCAAAACCACCCTTAAACGGACAAATTCACACTTCGGAGATAAAAAATAAATCAACTTATTTTTTAAAAAAACCAAATTTTACATCTACGAAACTTTGCTCCACTAACTCAAAAACAAAGCCAGCATTGATCCAGCACCCCCTGAATTTTTTTAATCGAAAAAACTACCCCTAATCTGAAGAATCAAATTCAAGAGGTAAAACAATAAAATAACTGATTAAAAAATTTTATAACCAGGTATTTTTACTCCAGCAAGGCAGAAACAAAGCCAGAAATGCTCCCTCACCCTCTAAATTTTTTTTAAATCGACCAAAACCACCCTTAAATAGAAAAATTCAAATTTAAGAAGTAAAAACAAGGAGGGAGTCCTTTATGTTTATTTCATAAACATTATGCTTCCTCATTGTGTGAAGCAAAAAATTTGCTTCCTCGTGAAGGAAGCAATGAATTTGTCCAATTCAATTGATTGTTTTAAAAAATTTCGAGTTAAAAATGTTTTAAATTAATTAAATTTTTTTAAAAATAAAGAAAAATTTAAATTAATTTTGAGTGTAACATAAACTTTATATATACGAATCGATTCGTTTTAATGCAAGGAATACAATTATTTTATTCATCAACTTGTATTTAAAAAAAAACACAAAATTTTTTAGCTAAAATATGAATTTTCAATTTCTCAATTTTTATTAATTCTCAAATTTTAAATCAAATCTATACTTTATATATACCAACCAATTCGTTTCAATGCAGGGAATAAAATTATTTCATATAGAAACATGAATTTAAATAAACACATCATTTTTTAGCTAAAATGAGAATTTTTGATTTTTTAACTTTCTTTAATTCTTTAAATTTCAATCAAATCTATACTTTATATATATCAATCGATTCATCTTGACATAAAGAAGACGATTATATTATATATTACCTTAAATTTTTCGATTTAAAAATTTTTTCAATTAAAAAAAAATTTTTGGAAAAAAGACGATAAAATTTTTTTTTTGGGGTATTTTTAAAAATCCTCTCGTCATTTTTGAGAGATTAATGTGTTAAATAAGCCTACCAAATTTTATCCAAATCCATTAAAACCTGTTAAAGATATCGTGTTCACAAAAACGATCCACACACACATACATACATCCGGACAATTGATCAGGATCTCATATAACATGTTTCTATATAGAGGAAAATTTGTTTTCACCATTTTTAAAAAGTTTATAAACGAAAGGACTACATAGCTTCCTCCACGAGGAAGCAAAATATTAAATTACCGGCTTTTTTTAAAAACAGAACCTTACATGTGTTACGAACGAGAAAATTAATTTATTAATTTTTATAATTTTGAACAATTATTTAAAATTTTCTATTCGCCGGAGGAACCAAGTTGCCATTAAAAAGTCAAAATGAACATTCAACTTAATAATGTTTATTTTTAATGTGGGTTCGATTAATTATATCGCCGATAGAAGACGAAACTGCCAATTTAATCTTTAGATCGTAAATAATGTTTCTTAGCTTTGAGATGAAAATCCACACTATTTTTGACAGCACAAATAAAAAGGTCTATTTGATTGAATAGAACAATTGGAATTTTAGTTTACAAAAATTTATTAAAAATCAAAGTAAAAATTGCAAAAATTACACATTATATGCTTTCTTTTGTAAAGAATAATGTTTTTGGAACGATACAGTTTTTTTATTACTTACGGCTAGATTTCTCTTACACACTACCGTCGAGAGAGCTTGTTGAGAAGGGAGAATTCTCGCGATCTCGTCGCACAATCAACGGGCAAAACGAAAGAAAGGTGTTATGCGTATTTCCGCGTCTCGAAACGCGGTACCGGTACCCTATCAGACACAAGCGGCGCAGGTACAATCCGTACGGACTGGCCGGTTTTAAGAACAAAAAATTATTTAATAAATTATAAATAATTTATTAAATAATTTCTCACTGTACTGATCAACCGATTGGGACTCAGCCGGTTCAAGGTTCGATTTAATTTTACGTCCGCCCAAAGAAAATAGAATTTAAATTGGAGCCAGCTCGCAGACGGGCCTTATTCTTAAAATTAAAAATTGGCTCAACGAAAATCTATCGTGATTCAGCAATTTTAATTTTAGAAATTTAAGCACTGCTGTTAATTTACCTGGCTCAACGAAAATCTATCGTGATTCAGCAGGTATATTATTGAGCTTTCTCCACAGTTTAAACTCTAAGTTCACTTTTTAAAGAAATAATGCAAAAATCAGTAACACGTACTAAGTGATTGACTGAAGACGAATAGGCAATGAGGCCCTATGAGCTTCTGCTTATAAAGAGCATCGCGAGATGCACTTAGTGGGATTAGTGAATCAGGGGTAGAAGGATTCTGGGGGTTTCAGGGGTATCGATAAGAAAACTTAGATCATCGTCCATCGATATTCTCAGAACCCATGATTCTTGTTATTCTTTTCTTTGTTGACACTATTGGAACTGCACATCTCCATATGTATAAGTGTATATGTGTGTTTTTAATAAAGTATAACTCGCAACCTTTGTTGAATTCCAGAGCGGTCATAGTTCTGCACAGATTATCGTTTTCATATTAAAAATGAAACTATTTTCCTTTTTATATATGCATATATATATATACATTTTACACATACATACGTACGTTTACCTTAATATACATGCATATATGCACGACATACATGTCTCAAAAATTTTCTTCCCCCTCTTTTTTTTTTTATTATGTGCATTTTGTTCTTTTACAAAATTGACCCTCTTAAAATAAAATCTTAATTGTTGCGAGTTTATATGTGCTTGGAAAATGTGGCATGTTCCAATTTAAGCTATCAACAATTATTGTATTTTTATTTCCTCTTTTTTTTTTGAGTTTGAAGGTATTATAAGGAAAAGAATAAGGGAAGGAAAGCAGTGTATGCATCGCGCGATACTCCTCGAGCGCCTCACACATATGCGTTACGAAGGCTATGGGGAGTCCGTGTCTGTGTGTACCGCATCCACGCTACGAGACTCATTGCACCTGAACGCGTGAGAAAGAGAGAGAAAGATAGATAGAATTGACATATGCGATTCTTCTCCCTTCTTATAAAATAATACATTTTCGTAAATATAATAATTGCAATATAATAATCACATTATTGTTGGTTACTATAATATGCGTAGAAATGTGCAACCAAACAATGTATACACATATCTATGCATATCACTTTGGCATACTATGAACACACGTACACACGATAAAAATAATGCACACGCATACGTGCATATACAATGCATATTCTTTGAAATAATATTTGATAATGATGATTCTAATAAGTAGAAAAATAGTATTGGTAATATATCCAATTGTTTATAATAATAATTATGATTAATTATTAATATTAATTTTAGTAAATGTAATTAACAATGATAATAATACGATTTATCATTATTAATAAAAAATCATGAATTAACAATAATTTGCATATTGTTAATTAATTAATTACTGCAAATTACTAATAAAAATGAGTAAAGTATAATTGTTTTATTTATAATAATATTTTAGTATCTTTATATAAGGTAAGTACACTATATTATATTTTTCATGCATATATTTATAATATTCAAGCTTGAATATTGATATTAGATAATTAATATAGTTTATAATATAGCATAATATAATATAGTATAAATCATAATATAGAATAATATAACATAAGATAGAATAAAATAATATATTATAATATAACAGTTTAACAAAGTTATATTATAATATCATAGTCATAGATACATTTTTAGAAGCAACGAGAATATAAGACTGTGTGTGTGGAGTATCACTCAACGCGCGCGATTATCGGGGATTCAAATTACATGCCTATATACATTGTGGCATCGACTTGGAGATTTTATTCTTAAATAATTTTCAATTATTCTTGAAATTATTTATTATCATTTTATTTATCTTTTATTTATAATTTCGTTACGATAGTTCGTAACAATCCACCGCGGATTTTTCCGTTTTCGTCCCCGAAAACTCATGGTCTCGACCACAGCATTCCTTATACTTTGTATATCGACATATAATCTAAATATTGTGTCTACTTGGTGACTCTTCTAAGCACTGCTACAGTATAGGACCCAGTATCAATGTCTTTGTGCTGATACAAATCAGTTCATTTCGTGAAGTGATCAAGTGCGCTTGTGAAATTTAAAATCTCTGGGATTATTTTATTTTGAACAATTTTAGTGGATATCGGAGGATTTTATTTTAAACAATTATTGTAAAAGTGCGAATAGTGCAAAAACTTTGGAAGACTATATTTTTTTTTTATTATAACAATTAGTGTAAAAGTGCGGGTGGTGCAAAAACTTTAAAAAAAAAACTATTTTTTTTTTTAAAAAAAAACAATTAGTGTAAAAGTGCGGGTGGAGAGTAAAAAAAATGGCTGGAAATGCGGAAAACAGCAGAGAATTTATGGAGAGGTTTAGTAAGTTTCAAGATTTTCTATTTTTTTATTTCTTTTTACTATTATTGAATTATTTATTGATTGTTTATAACAATCGATAAATATATCTCATTCTCGGTAAACAAATACACACATCCTTTTAAAAATAGATAATAATTATTATTATTATAAAAAAATTTTTTTTTTTTTTTTTTTTTTAACCTAATTTATTTATCTTAATAATTATTTAATAATTTTAATTTTGTTTATAATAAAAATTTTATTTATTTATTATTATTATTTTTTTTTATAGATTTCAAATAAAATTAATAATTTTTGTTATTAATTTATAATAATAATTATTATTGATCATTAAATATTAATTAAACAATTTAAAAATATTTCAAAATGAAAATCGTTCATAATTTTGAATTTGCTTTCTAAATGCTATCAAATGTATATTCCATGCTCTTGGAGGGGTATGTATATAGTCGATGCGGCGCCGCATCTTACACTTGATGACAGCATATATAGATATACATGTATACACAGTTCCAGCGCGATGATCATAATATGAACCCAGACACATTATATTACAAAAAAATATTTTAAAATTAAAACTAAAATATATTATTATTACTATTATTATATTTGTTTAATTTTCTTTTTTTTTTTTTTTTTTTTTTTTATTAATTAAATTAATAACATACATTGTACATAATTTAAATATAATTAATATTTTTAATTATTAACAATCGATTATAATTAATATATATAATTTTTTTTTTTTTTTTTAACTTTCTTTAAAATTTTAATTGTTTATAATTTATTAGCAATATAAAATTACTTAATCAAAATATTTTGTAAATGTAAAATTAAAATTGATTAGAATAAGTAATTATTTTCAACTTTATTATTGATGTTTTATATAAAAAATTCTTTGTTCATAAAAATAAATTGACATTTAAAATTGCATTTTTTTTTTCTTGGTTCATATATTCAAAGCGCTATTAGGCATGGGTACCATCTATTTAGATGGGTGCGCGTACAGACAGCTCGGCGCCACAGCTCATGCCTTGTACACAGTATATATATATATATATATATAGAGAGAGTATACATGCTTACGGTTTGAACATAGTGACCACAATATAGGATTTAAATGCACAGTGCATATACTGAGTTTTATGAATGAATTTCTCCTATATTTTTATTTAATAAACAACATGTATTAGTTAACTAATTAGTTATTAATTAATTATTTATTTAATAGAAATTTCGTAAATAAAAAAAAAAAATTTAAGTTTACTAAGTTTTGTTTATTTAATAAATTTATTTAATGTTATAAATTTTTAGCAACAATTTTTTTTTATACATATAAAAAATTGTTTATTTAACAATTTTCAAAAATTTAATAATAAAATTTGGTACATATAATAAAATTTTGATAATTATTTAAATTTTAATAATACTTATATTATTATTATAAAATTTTATTTCTGTAACAATTTCTTTAATAATTATTATATTATAATTTATTTATTTATTTATATTTATTTATTTATCTTTTTTGTTTTTAATTAGTTAATTTTATAAAAATTTACCAAGAATTATAAATTATTTAATAAATATTTATTTTAATAAGAATTATGGGAATTTTTGTTAACTTAAAAAAAAAATTGTTTATTTAACAAATTTTTAATATTTAATACAAATCTCTAATAATAATTTAAAATTTATCAAGAATAATTAAAGCATTTAATAAATATTCGGCTCAATAATAATTTTATAAATATTTAGAAAAATTATTTATTTAACAAATTTTTAATAATTATTACATTGTTTTTATTGTAATTTTTTTTTTTTTTTTTTTTTTTTTTTTTTTTAAATTGAAAATTTTTTTTTTTGAAATCAATGACATTTTTTAATTAGGCTTATAGTTTACGAGATATTTAGGATTTTATCTGGCAGTACCTTTTTATATAAATTTTCGAATGTTTTGAATTTGGAGAAAAAAAATTTTCAATCTCGATTTACATGTTTTAGATCTCAAAATTTCGTGTCTCATTGTGGTAATCAAATTTCGGTATTGATACGAACTACAAGAAAATGAAGTTTAAAAATTTATTTTTATTTATTTATTCCATAATTTTGTTTATTTAACAATAAAAATTTACCAAAATTTATCTGATTTTAACGTATTTTTGTTTAGTTATCGAATTTTTACGAAATTCAATAATAATTTTTATTACTTTGAAGAAAAATTGTTAAAATTAAATTTAAAGTTGGTTCAATGTAGGATCTATGTCGGTCGGCCTATCTAATGACAAATGCTCAATCTGTCGCTTGACTATATCCCCTCTATGTAGGCTAAGTAATATAGGACCTCTATAGAAGATATATATATGCGCTATGTAGGCCATAGTATGTAGAATCTATATAGGACTTAAATGTATTATTTACGTAGGTCAAATGTTCTACAATCTATATGGAGTTTTTATTTGATTTCTATATAGGCTTAACAGTATAGAATCTATATAGAAATTTTGAGGAAATCCGATATAGATGAATATAATATAATCTATGTAAGACTTGAAATCATTTCGAATTAGGAAGAATAATAATTGCATTATTATTGCAAAATTTTAATTATTTTATGCCCCTTTTTTTTTTTTTATTTATTTAACAATTTTTATAATTAACAGGTAATTTTTCTATAATTTACCAAAAATTATTAATTATTCTAAAATTGCGCTTTATTAATAAATTTAATAAATTTTGTTATAATTTTTATTATTTAACAGAAATTGTTTATTGAACAATAAAAATAGAATTTTATTAATTTTTATTAAATTTGAGATAATTTTTATAAATTACAATTATTTAATAAAACTTTTATTAAACTTTAGTAATAATTTTTATTTAAATTTTCATATAATTGCACTATTATCATCAATCAATTTTTTTTTTTTTTTTTTTTTTAATATATGAATCGAAAAAACTTTATAACCTAGAGATTTTGTTAGTTTTTACAGCAAGAGCTGAAGGAGGGGTGGTTTCCGCTGTGTGTTCCCACACCGGTATTAGATACCGCTTTACGATTGAAGAGGGTAAGTACTGTGAATAAGAAAATAAGGTAAGAAAAAATATACATATATACACATACACATATACATTTGTACTTAATTACAGACGGATGGCATTGGTATAAGGCCAATGAATATGAAGGTGCAAGCGATGCTGATGATGAGCGCGGTGAGGAGGAAAGGATAACGGTCGGGTGCAATATTGCAGCCCGCGATCGCAGCCCCGGCTCATCACGCCCGCCCAGTCAGGAGCACATCTTGCCCCCACATGTAAGTATTATATATATATATATATATATTAGAGAAATATTTTTAAATTCAATTGTATTTATTGATTTTTGTGGTTTATTCTGGATTTTTAGTGGAGGAACCGGTAGGTGAAGATTGGCCTGAAGAGAATGGCCTGGCAGGTGATGATCTGCCTATAACAGGTAGGATATTGTTAACGTAAAGCCCATACGTGTATAAATTTTAGACATGCATATTAATACTTTAGTTTTTATAGATCGAGCTGATGAAGATGTTACATCTCCGGATGTAAGTGACATTGAGTCACGAAATTGCGAAGAAGATTTAGAAGGTAACAAAACCTCTTTTTTTAGATGAAAAACATATACATAATTATGGGTTCCTATATATGCATATATATACATTTTTCTTTTTTTTTTTTACAGATGAGGCAGAAGAAGAAGACGAATCGGAGAATGTTACGTCTCCAGATGTGAGTGACATAGAGTCACTAGGAGATGACATATTTGTCGAAGGTGAGTCATGAATATTATATATTAAATACACATTTGGGTTTATATTAACATTATTATTATTTTTTTTTTTACAGATGATGTTCAGGGAGCAAGGGCTTTGACTCCCCCCGATATGCCCGAGCTTGTTTCTTGGGCAGATAACGGTATGTTTTTTTATCATTACATGTATCCTTATATAAATTTTTGTATAACACTTGTACGTCTTTTCTGACATTCATACTTTTATTCATTCAATTTTTATATTACAGCTTATGGTTTTGCAGCCCAAGCTTTGGGTCGGAGTATAACTCCGCCCGATATGCCCGATCTCTTTTCGTGGGTGGATAATGGTAAGATATATATATATTATTTATTTATCATATTCGTATGACCTTTTTATCATTCATTCTTGTATTTATTCTATTTCGTTTTATAGGTGAGGGTCGAGCAATGCGAGGTTCGGGTCGGAGTACGACTCCTCCCGATATGCCTGAACTAGTGTTGGCGGGCAATGGTAAAATAAAAAAAAAAAATTTATCTTCCTATACATTTTATATCACATTTGTACGCCTTTTTTTTTTTTTAACATTTATACTTACATTTATTCTATTTTATTTTACAGATTATGGTCATTCAGCACGAACTTTGGGCAGGAGTAGAACTCCTCCTGATCTCATGATGCCTGATAATGATGGTAATAATAATTTTATTTTTTTTTTACAATAGTATTTTAATTATTTATAATTTTAATGATTTGTGGTATATCTTTTATTAATTTATTAGGTTGGGTACCATTCTTGCGTCGACAAGAGCTTCTTCCTGAGCTCCAACACTTTGAGAAAGTGATTGGAGTTCTTTTGAAAATAAAATTGAGGGGGGAGGACGATGATACAGCCGATTACCGCATAATTTATCAGGAGGAATCTGACGCACCCCCTCCGTGTTAGTAAATCTGTTTATAAAATATATATATTTTATATTTGGGTACATTCAATAAGTAAATTTTGTTTTCTTTTTTTTTTTTTTAGATTGGTGTTTTGGGCCTACTAACCCCTACGAGGAATTACTATGCGTAATTCTTCAGTTGCGGATTGTGGAGGCAATAGGAACTCGAACTGAGTATCGCGTGGTTTACGGATGCGACGATTAATATGTATATATATATATATATATATATTTTTTTTTTTTTTTTTTTTTATTTTTATTAATCTTTTTATTATTATTATTATTTTTTTTTTTTTTATTTAGTTAATAATTGTAAATTTATTACATATATATATTATTATTACTATTATTATTTAATTTTAATTTTAATTTGGGTTATATGGACTCACTTTCATCTAGAATTAATATATATTAAGTTCTGAGCAAATGTCCGGATGTATGCGTGTGTGTGTTTGTGTGTGTGTCACAAAATATTGTGTACTAATTATCTCAGAAAATTTTAAATTGTACATAGATTCACACAGCATTTATTCACACATATGCATTTTACTCGCATTCATTCACTCACACATTGACACATAATCACTCATAAAAATTTATTTAGAAAATATATATATCTTTTTCAATAGCAAAGAATGTTTGTTTGGTTGTTGTTTTTGTTTTATTTATATATATTTTTTTTTTTTTTTTTAGAATATTTTAATTACTTTATTCATCTCCACTTCCAGTAAAACTTCCCTGCTTTTGTTTTTTTTTTTTTTTTTTTTTTTTTTTTTTTTTTTTTTTAAGAGAAAAATATGAAAATTTAACTTAGGGCACGACTGTAGCAGCAATTAGAGTGAGTATAAAAATCATACATATATATATAAAATTTTTGTCTTTTACTTGTTTTAACCATAGTTATTTTTGTAGAATTTCATCGCATGAAGTCAACATTTCAAAATATCGTTGCACTGATCACAATTTTTTTTTACCACTCACATCGTTAGAACTGAGAGGCCATTTTCTTTATTGAATTACACTTGGCACATGGAGATTCTTTTATTGATGGAGAGAACTGGAACTCATATATTATGTGGAATGGGAAAACTTGAATTTGTTATAGAGTTCAGCATCGTGTTTGAATAATTTTGGGACAATTTGTGGAAAAACAAACAAAAAGTCGCTGCACTGTTGATGAAATGTTGACAAGATGAAGATTATATGCACTGGTTGGTATAATTAAAGTTTACATGATCCATTATTATATTACTTTTTCTTATTATTTTATTTTTGTAGGAAAAAAAAAAATGGCTTCGGTTTCCTATTTGATAATGGTTTGTATGGTTTTATAATATTGTTTTTGATTTTAATTACAATTTCGTGAGAGTAATTATGAATTTTCTTTCAGCTACTGAAGATAAACTCTCGCCACCATAAGTCTTGTTGAGCGAGAAAGAAATCAGAATTGTTTTCTGAATCCGATGCAGGGCATATTTAATTTTTTGGAAAGAGCAGCCGAATTCAGCATCGACTATTATTTAAACAGAGACGTCGAAAGCAACTCTGTCCTGGAGCATCACATGAGGCGGAGGTGGAGGAGGCGGTGGAAAATTGTTGTTTCTTCTGCGTCTGCTAGATATCTTTCGATAGCATAGGTAGATATTGCGAGACAGGATCAGCATCATTAGCAATAGTATAACCTTGAATCCAATGGCGATGTAGTTTTTCACATCTAGAATGCCTCCTACTAGTGGAATTTCCATCCTTTCTTTGCCGTGGTGAAATATTCCAGGTTGATTTTATTGAATGGGATCTAGACCTCCTATTTTTTTACAGAAGAAATAAATGTTAAAATTGAATTTTAAATGAAAACAGTGTTTGTATTTGAATTTCTTCAATACATACTGACATTAGGACTGATACTATTCACACTCGTTTGGTCGTACATGCGTATCTGACATCCCGAGTTCCTTTTCGTAATAGGTAATAGTTCGAAAATGCCCTCCAACGACTAACGCTTTCCTGAAGTGAGTTTCGAACAAGCTTTCTATAGTAGATTGTCGCCAGTCATTTTCATTGTAACGTTCTATGAAATTATGGTCTATATATTCGAAATCATCTTTTAAATACCAAGGATAGGGTATGTTTATAATTTGATATTTTGACTCTTCTGCTTCTTTAAACAATGGTGGTAAATCAAAACATGAACACAAACAACTTGTAAATCTCCTATTTATAGGTATTTCATGAAAATCAGTTATTCCTATTTTGTTTAGTTTATTTTTCCTAGCTTTGTGGATAGGTGTCTTGAATGGGAGAGACAATGGGAAAGAGACGTGTAAGCATTGACCATCTGGTAGAAATTGTAAAGGCCTAAAACAACAATTCATGTTGTTTATTAGATAATATATCCAGGAAGAAAAACCCATATCTAAACCTATTTGAAGAGTGAGTGTATTACTGCTTAGAATAACATACACTACATAATTATACAAAAGGCTTTTTGGATCTATGATTTTAATAGATCTTAGAATAGCATAGAGATTGGGATATAGACAAATAAAACCAGATTTTAATCGAAATATTGTCCTTTGTCCAGAAAATACTTTTACTGTCAATGATTCGAGAATTTCATTGTCGGATTCATCATAAATGATCATTGTTTGACCAGCAACTCTAACATCACGAATATTTTGAGCAGTTTTTAGACAATCTAGCAATATGGCATTATATGCTAAATTAGCTAGTGTTCTTGGGATTTTCCATGATTTTTCGAAATCCTTTAATAATCTTTTGATAATTAATGGTGGATTTTTCCGACTAATTTCCGAAATAGGGACATCTTCTACATTGGGAAGCAAGACTTCTAAAAATTCACTCATTTTGAGTTATATATATATATATATATATATATTTTTTTTAATATATATATATACCTAATAATTAAACGGGATGTTGAAGATAATATTCTACAGTTAGGTTTGAAACTAATCCTAATGTTATAGCAGTTTTAGTTCCAATTATTGCAGAATTAATTGAAAAGATGATTCCGTATTAGGGTCTATAACTAGAAAGAAAATTTCATCACCGTTAACTTCTAATTCTACACTTCCAACTACTAAAAGAAATTCGTTTCCTATTTTCTCTATAGAATGACTAATATTTTCATATGCTACGTTTAGAAGATTTACAGAAATAAAATTGTGTTTTGTTTTTAGAGATAGTAATACGTTTATTCCGTCTGCAATTAAATCTGGGGACATCAGCGTTATATATTCTTCTCCATTTAACACTATTTCATCCTCAAAATTGGCAGGTGGCATTTTCAACGCTTAAGTACATATTGATTTTTTTTTTTTTTTTTTTTTTGTACTCCTTACACAGTTTGCTTCAATCTCTTCACAACCTGATAAAAGAGAAAGATTTTAATTAACAATATGCCATCATTAATTTATCTTTATGTTTTGAAAATCTCTCGTTATTTTCATCTTCTAGGATTACATTATTATTTTGAGTAAATCCTACTACGGTATAAGGACCTTCGGCTCTCTTATCGAATTTATTCGCTCGGATTTCTTTATACGCGAACACCTTGTCGCCAATTTTCGCTTTTAGAGGGCGGGCAGTCCTATCATGATATTCTTTAGACTTTAGTTTCGCTTGGACAAGATTTTTGGCAGCTATTCCCTGAATTTCGCTCATTCTAGTTATAAGTTCTTTTAAATAGGATCCATAAGTCTCAAGCTCTGGTCCTTGGGGAAACGAACTTGGGATTCTAGCTAGTTTCCCAAAAACCAACTCGTAAGGAGTGAAATTAGTTGCCTCATGAACTGATGTATTATAATTAAACATCGCAAAAGGTAAAAGACGATCCCAATCGTCAAAATCCTCAGCATAATGTTTAATAAAATCTGTCAGCTCAATATGGCTTCTTTCTAATGCTCCATTGGTTTGAGGTCTGTAGCCAGAAGTGGTAATTTGTTTAACTCCAAAAATTCTTTCCAATTTTCTCATGAGTGAACTTATAAAACTTCCTCCTCGATCAGTAAGAACACATCTAGGCGCTCCAAACTGAGAGAATAAATGAGTAGCTACTGCATGAGCGATTGTGGTTGTTTTTATATCGGAAATAGGGACTGCTATACAATATTTACTGAAATTATCTTGCATAGTGAGAATATACCGATTCCCATTTGGAGTAGTAGGTAACTTTCCTACGGTATCTAGGGATACTTTGTCAAAAGGGCCTGCAGGAGTATCGGTTATTATCATTGGTTCACGAGTACGAGCTCTAACTAATTTATTTTGAAGGCAACTCTGACATCCTCGTATAAATTCTGTTATTTCATCTCGCATTCGAGGCCAAAGGTAGCGTTCTCTAATTCGTCTATATGTCTTCGTTATCCCCTTGTGACCTGCTAGTAGACTTTCGTGATATTCCGAAATAATTTTTGGCCTCAATTCTGGGGGTGGAACTTCAATTTTTCCGTGGCACAATATCATAGTGATATCGCCACCGCGGAATATTTTTGTTAATAATTCTGTCATTTTACCTTGGGGAAGGGAACCTAACAAATCACCTGTATTTGCCATACGACATGTAGATCGAGTATCTCGGCTCAAAGCTAATTTAAGATTTTTCAAACCTAGAATTACATTTCGCCAGTCAATTTCGTCATAATGTCTTTGTTTAACAATTATTGAATAGGTACAATATCGTCCACTAGGGGTAATAAGTATCTGACCTATTTTTGGTCGTTTTTCCTGCAGTTCTTGAAGATCGATTCTCTCGGTTGCCACTAAAAGTTTTGAAATAGCATCAACTGGTTCACAATCTTCTGACATGAAATGAGCATAATTGTCTCTTTCATATGTTAATGGTTCTGACCATTTTTGAATTACGTTATTTTTAGTCAACACGTCTTTCGTCATTTTAAAGTCATTGTCGTCACAAGTATCAGAAAAAGATGGGGAATCATAATACGGAATACCTACACCTTTGGAAGATTTTTCTATGGGTGTACACTTTGTTCCCGACACATTATCATTAGTTTTTTCCTGTAGTCGGCGTGGCACAACACTAGATTTTTTTCCCATTTTTGAACCATTTGTTTTCATGTAGACAAATGGAGTAGATTGAGCATCAGGAATGACGGAAAATCCAGGTGTTTGAAATATTGATCCTTGCCATTGGGAATAATCCTTAGCGGGGGAATGCATGAC